ATGTTTGAAAACATCTCTGTCCAAATTGCTGGCTGACTACTAAGCATGCAGATACAAAAGTAAACCCTAGAAAGTTAGGCCGAAGAAACAAAAATTACAATTAAAATCTAAACAGACACATTAGCAGCTGCACATCTGGGGAAGACAAAATCTGCAGTTCAAGTGCAGGAGAGGTACAAGAAAAACCCTCAGAATTCATAGTTGCTAAAACATATATCTAAGATGTCCAGCTTTCTAAAAGATTACAAAATATGCAAAGAAACAAGAAAGTGTGATACATACCTGGGAGCAAAAAGCAGTCAGTAGAAACTGACTTTTCATGAGCCCAGATGTAGGCTTTATCAGGAAAAGACTTCAAAGTAGCTATTATAAATAAGTTCAAATAGTTAAAAGAAATATTATGACAATGATTCAACAAATCAAGGATATTAATGGAGAAATAGAAACCACATACACATACACACGGAGATTTAGAGTTGAAAAGTACCACATTAAATTTTTTTAAAAAAAATCACTATATAGGCTTACCAGCAGATTTGAGATGGAAGAAGGAGGTATCAATGAACTCAAAATAGAGCAATGGAAATTGTTCAATCTGGAAAATGGAGTGAAAAAAGGATTGAGGAAAAATGAACAGAGCTTCAGAGACTTGTGAGACAACATCAAACATGTAATAGGAATCCCAGAAAGAGAGGAGAGATAGAATGGATCAGAAAAACATATTCAAAAAAATATGGCCAAAAATTTCTCAAATTTGATGAAAAACATAAATCTGCAGGTCTAAAAAGCTTGAATAATTCTAAGCAAGATGAACATAAAGATATCTACACCTAGACAGAGAGAAAATCTTGAAATGAGGAAGAAAAATATATAAAACTTTTCTCTCTGGTTTTTTCTAGGTGTGAATATCTTTGTGACACACTTTAGATTCAAAGACTCAAATCAGTCCCATAAGAAGGGTTATTAGGTCTTTTATAACAGATATGCTTGGAAAATTGTACATCAACATTTTAATCAGGGGCTTGGGTAATAAAATAGCCCAGCAATTACACAACCAGCTGACACTAAGCAGCAGACTAAGCTAAGGCCATGTTAAATGGAATCTGAGTTCACAGTAACCTTATTAAATGGAAAAATTAGTCATAAGCAGAAATAATTTTGGTGGGTACTTTCCTAAAGAGGTGAACACTAGGACAATTCAAAATGTGGCAGAAGTGCTGGGTGGTTCCTGGGCCCTACAACAGAAACACAGTTGTTCAACATTTCAAATAATTACCCTTTCTCACAGTCCATCTTGTTCATTGGCCTAACTCAGCTATTACTGCAGGGAGCACTGGAATTACCCTTAACTAATATCTAAATTTTAGTTCTGGTTCTACTGTTAAAACCACTACACCAATCATTATTTTTTAAAATAGTATCCATCCCAGAGACCTGTACAATGGTGATAATGGTGGCTAACATTTACTGAGTACTTACAATATACCAGGCCCTGTTTCATATGCTTTATAGGTATCAACTCATTTAACTGTTACAATAGCTATAAAAGTAGTATCTATTATTTTTCCCCATATTCAAGACAGGGAGACTAAGGCACAAAGTAGATAAGTAATTTGACAATAGGTAACTAGCTAATAAGCAGCAAAGCTGGGATTCAAGTCCAACAACCTGCCTCTAGAGCCTACATGCTTGACCGCTGTGTAATCTAGCCTCTAGAAACTCGGTTGTTTGGTGTAAAAAATATAGCCAGGACTCCAGAATTTTTGTTCAGGGTTTTTAAATCTTTTCAGAAAAGAAGCTTGGACTTGGAAAAACTAAAAACCGTGGGAAAATATTTCTCCTTTTTCATTGATCGTGAGTTTCTGATAGGTGTATGTGTGCATGTGCGTGCATGCGTGCGTGTGTGTGTGTGTGTGTGTGTGCGTGTGTGTGTGTGTGTGTTTGAGTGCGTGTGTGTGTGTGTTTAAGCTATATAACTAAAGCAGTCAAATCCAGCAAGCCTGCTCTCATGAAGGGGGCAGATCCCTGAGTGATGAATTGCCCCAGAGAATCTGGTGAAAATTAGTGTTAACAGTAAATGAATTACAAAGTGTTTGGGATCAAAATATGTTGTTCTCTCTGCATGGTAGCTGAGCTGAGAACTGGAGACTATCCTCGAATAGGAAATTGTATTTTCCAAATGAGCATGTGTGTTTTCAAACAGAAATAGAGGTGTCTGCTTCTCATCATTTGAGAGAGACAAGCTCTAGTGGACAGTGGCCACCCAAGCCACATGAGAAAAGCCCAGATGTTGGCCTAGAGGAACATGAACAAACTGTTACACTACACCCAAGGGTAAACCCAGTCCTAATAACCCATTTGAGACAAATCAACCAGCAGATGGAAAGGAATTAGAAAAAAAGTAGGATTTCCATGGGCCAGAGCTGTAAAGACTAACTGGAGTGCCAGTGCTAAATACAAATGCCCAAAGATCAAGGGGCAAAATGCTTGCAGATCAGGGAGGGAAATGCTTTTTCTATGTAGAAAAACGAAGAAACAAAGCTGAGCCAAAAGAGTCAGGGGACTGTATGAAGGAAAGTGAGTTGAGCCCCAAGCTGGAACTGACAATCAGAAGGCTGATTTCAGAGAATAGACACAGAACCAAGTTCCAGAAAAAAAGAAAAATCCTCTCTGAGATTCCACCAGAGATCATTTGTTCCAAAGTAGCGTTGAGCCAGAAATCCAAGGAGCTCAGTCGAGCCTCCACCCTATCAGGCTAGACAGTGTGGAGGCCAGGAAAAAGAATTGGAGCTGGGTAAACTCTACAAACTGTGCCAATCTAACCAGGCTACAGCTGGACTTCGGTGAGATTAGGTTAAAAAAATCTGGGTTTTGTAAACTTATCCATTTCTCTGCTCTCATATTTGCTTTCTTTTCCTTCAGTTTTTTTTTTTTTTTTAAATTCCAACCAAACCCCAGCTGTACCAAGAGGGAAGCTGACTTCCCACATCTAAATCAAGATAAATGATGGGAATGCTCCAGAAGCAGTGGCGATAGGGCCAGGGTATTTGAGGTGGAGAGAGAAGTGAGAAAGTAGATGGGGAAGAGTTCTAAACAGTAGGACACACAGATATCTTCCTTCCTAGGGATTTTACCTTTTCTTTGTGCTTTTCTTTAGTTTGTCCTTGCACAGTGGCCTTGGATGTGAGGCAAAAGAAGCCTTGTGACTTTCCATTGGCAGGACAGGAAGAACAAATAAAGGATTGCCACTGTGGAATTGTGGAATGTTTATTATCCTAAAGAAAGAATTTGTCTGTTCTCACAGGGAAATTTTGTTATCTTATCTTAGACTGGCCCCTAAAATAAGTAGTCTTTGGTACCTTTATTTTTTTCCAGCTTTTTGGAGATATAATTGACATATAACATTGTGTAAGTTTAAGGTGTACAATGTGATGATTTGACATTTATATATATTGCAAAATGATTACTACAATAAGGTTAGTGTTTTTAATGCAAGGGAAAGCCAGAAGCACAAGAAAGTTAGGTGACCTATCTGTGGGCACCCATCCAGGGGCAGTGGCTAAGTTCAAAAGCAACCTCCACAACTGCTCAGACTAACATGATCATGAAATTAAACCCTCTTACCTGATTCCAACCACAGTTCCTGCTCTGTCTTTTCCCCCTCCTCCCTTCCCAGGGAGTAGGATTTTGGAGGCTCCAGCCTTTAGAAGAGAGCATCAGAGCTCAGTTCCAAAGACAGGAAATAGAATTCATTGACAAATATTGCTGTGAATTCCTAGTGTGTTTAAGAGCTTTGAGAAAGCCAGAAAAAGTTGGTGTGACCCAGCTTGCCTTCCAACTTATCTTGTCTTGCTAACAGAGTTCTTGGATACTCTTGTAGGGCACAAAACTGCTTTTATAACTCTGAAACTGCCATGACGTTGAGAGACTTTTAAAAAGTCTATTCCTAGCTTTTGAAAAAATACATTCCTTTCCTTTGTGTTAAGATTTTATATATTGTCTTTCCCTCATATCTTCTGTATAATCTAAGCACGTAAAGTATGACATTAACAAAATTCATTTTGTTACTAATACGTAAATAATTTACAATCTTACTTTCTGTCTTTTTTCCCCTAACTTTCTATTTCTAATGCTCACTTTTCAAAATAACTTTCAAAAGTGAATGTAGGAACTCAATGTCTTTGTCTTCCTATTTTCGTTGTTCTTCTTGGCAGTCTAGTTTATAATATACTCATGTTCCCAAATCAAAACACAATTATAAGTTTATGTAGGATAGTTTCTGAGCTGATAGTATCATTGTTTCATAAACTCACATTTAGAGATGTGTAAAAATTCAGTTAACAGGTTTAGAGTCTAAGTGGTAAATCAGTTCCTATTCCTAAAAAGCGCAGAACTGGAAGATTTTGTGGTTAAAATGCAAAAAGAAATTTAGGCAGAAAAAAATTTATGACTCTGGTAATAGAGAAGTTAAATGGTGGAAAGAAGACCAAAGGACACAGTGAAATTTTCATCTCTAGAAGATCAAAGCTAGTATAGGAATTCTATGAGAATTTATTCCTACATAAAATTAGGCCCCTTTTTGCTTTAGGATTGTATAATTTTGTAACATTATTGCTAATTCTGTGTGCTGTAGTTTGCTATCTCATATTTTACCAAATATGACTTCTTTTAAATAATAGAAAATTCTTATTTTAATGAATTTTAAATTATTTTCAAATCAAAGAATAGAGAAGATGTCTCTAACAAAGATAAATGTAGCTAATTTTATAATTTTTCCTAAGGCAATATGGTTTTACACATTTCTTCTATTTACAAATAGTGGAAATTTTCCAATCAGATGTGAATCTTGAAAAATTTATCAAATGTATGTTTATTAAACAAATGAATTGTTGTTTTAGACAAGTTGAGAGAGATTTTTAAGTCCCAGGCTTTTGATAAACGACAGAAGTACACAGTAACTGCTGAGGACCAATCTGACAGGAATTGGCAAGGACAACAGACAGAACAATGAAGGTCTATTATCTTAGAGTTCACAAAAGAATGGTCGGGCCCCTAGCCAGATGTATAATCAGTCTATTTTAGTGTTTATCACACAAACCAATGGATTTTTCCAAATAATAGTAAATTGGGTGTGGCTCTTTTTTTTTTTTAAGAGGATTTCCTGGCAATCTGTCTAGAAGTTATGATAATATCTTTGTATATTTTGATAAAATGGTACACTATGCACCTATGATAAAAAACAATGGGTCTTTGGTATCGCTTTTTGATTCTGAGTGTTTGGGGAATTTTATTTTCAATGGTTCTCTTTTCACTTCATTAGTCTATATCAAGGCTGATTTTACCTTAGTCCAATTCCCTTGAAATATGTGCTTTGTCATGCTCATTACAATAAATAAGAAGAGGTGATTTGCTTATATGGCAGCCTGGCCCCTACTCAATCAAAGAGGAGAACAGAGCAGAGACAGCACTGCTACTCAAATATCACCTGCAACATATAACTCAAGGGTCACACACATGTGTCTTTGAAACCCAATATTTGTGTTTATTAGCACATTGCAGTAATTACTGCTTAAATAACTTTCCTGCTTGTCACAATACTTAAATTTTTAATTGTTGATTGTGAAGAGAAAATAGTCCTCAACCTAAGCTAACTTAAGGTCTTATTCATTATTGAAGCTTCCATAAAAGTCAAATATTTGTTTTTGAAAAAACAAATGTTAATGAGAAAAGTCATCATTTTAATTCATTAGACATATATAAATCCATTGAAAATTTTATAAATAAATTAAAACATGACTTATTCGTATGTATTTAGTGCAAATTTTAAAATTATATTAAAATAATTGCTCAAACTTCAAATAATGCTCAAAATAGTCAAATATCCAAAATCCATTAACAAAAATTCTTAGCAAAATATGAATATGAAGAAATTCCCTCAACTTCATAAAGGGCAACTACCTACAGCTAGCATCTTCCTTAATAGTCAAGACAATGCTTTCCTTAGACATCGAGAATGAGGCAAAGATATCTATTTCTATTTAAGATTATACTGGAGGTCTTAGGCTATGCATAAAGCGATAAAAGAAATAAAAGGCACATAGATTGAAAAGAAAGAAGTACAGCTTTCTTTATTTGTAAGCAACATCATCACCTATAGAAAGTCCTATGGAATTACAAAAAAAGCTACTAAAACTAATAATTGAGTTTATTAATGTTGAAAGATATGATTAATATATAAAAACCAATTACATTTCTACACACTAGTAAAGAACAATCTTAACTTGAAATTTAAAAGAGCAATACCATTTAAAATAGCATCCAAAAATACAAAATATTTAGGGATAAATTTCACCAAACATATTTAGATCTATGCATTGAAAACTACAAAACATTGCTGAGAGAAATTATAGAAGATAAATTAGTGGGGACATACAGTGTGTTCATGAATTAGAAATGGTATTGTTGAAATATCAATTCTTCAAAAATTGATCAGTGAAATCCCAATCAAAATATTAGCATTCTTTTTATCCATAATAATTCATAAATTGATTACAAAATTCATATGTAAATGCAAAGTATCTGGAATAGTCAAACTTTAAAATTACATAAGATATTTTATAATTTTCTCATTATAATTGCCCTGCAGCAGAGCAGCTTGCAAGCTTTGGGTGGTTTCCTGAGTGTAAATTCTGGCCTTGCTGGTTACCAGCTATATTAACACACTCCAATTGTTTCCTCATATATTAAATTAAAAACAAAAACAAAGATTCGATGAAATAGTACCTATAAAGTTCTCAGCAGACAACCTAGCCTAGAGTGGTTAATTGCTTTATGTTATTGTTGTTATTGCTACAGTTTCAATTGTGCAAGTATCTCATTATTGAGCATATAGTACCCAGGAGCTCATTGGCTTTGTCAGTGAAAGGTTAAACCAGATTTAGAGTAGTATGGCAGAGAATGCTGAATGTTCATTGTGTCAGACATCACCATATATTTGAGCCTTTTCTACCTTCCCCCTCATCCCTTCCCTCTAGTAATCACTAAGGTGTTGTTTGTGTCTATGACTTTTTTGTTCATTTGTTTGTCTTGTTCATTTGTTGCTTTCAGTTTTATATATCACATATGAGTGAAATCATATGGTTCTCATCTTTTTCTGTCTGACTCATTTCACTTAGCATGGTAATCTCAAGATCCATCCATATTGTCACAAACAGCAGTATTTCATCTTTTCTTATGGCTAAGTAATATTCCATTGTATGTGCTGCATATTCTCTATCCAATCATCCAAAGAAGGACACTTTGGTTGTTTCCATGTCTTGGTCACTGTGAATAATGCTGCAATGAACATATGGGTGCATATATCTTTATGAATAAGTGTTTTCAAGTTTTTTGGGGTAGATACTCAAAAGAGGGATCACTGGATCATATGGTAATTCTATTTTTATTTTTTGAGTACCCTCCATACTGTTTTTTATAGTGGCTGTGCTAGTTTTACATTCTCACCAGCAGAGTATGAGGGTTCCTTTTCCCCCTCATCCTCTCCAACATTTGTTATTACTTGTCTTGTTGATAATAGCCATTCTAACAGGTGTGAGGTGGTACTTCATTGTGGTTTTGATTTGCATTTCCCTAATAGTGAAGTTGAGCATCTTTTCATATATCTGTTGGCCATTTGTATGTCTTCTTGGGCAGACATAAATTAAAAACATCTATATGTTTAATAATGCAACTGCTATTAAGTATTGCAAGGAAAAGTTAGATGGAGATTGTACCAGGGTAGCAGGTTAGTCAGTTCAGGCTTGATTATGACTGAGATCTAAAGGATGATTAGGTGTCAACTAGGTAAATGGGGCAGAAGGAACTGTGTGTATGCAAAGTCTCAGAGGCCTGGATAAGACGGCAGGCATATTCTAGGAATGACAGAAGGCCAAGATGGCTTGAGCTTGAAGAACGAGTGCAAACCAATGACCAGTAATAAGAAGTCAACAAATGGATCTTGGTGTGGGAGAAGGAGATAAAAAAAGATGTGAAATAATCATAATAGTATTTTAACAAATTAACTCTAGATTCAGTACTGAGAACTAATTGTAGGGGGCACAAGTTGACATGAGATGACTAGTTGGGAGACTATTGCTTGGAGTCCAGAGAGATAACTGTTATGTGACTTGGCTGGGAGTGTGGTACAGATATAAAAAAAGTGGACAGAGGCAAGATGAGGTAAAAGCAATAGGGTTAAATAATAGGTGGTATATGAAGGAGGTGAAGAAGAGAGAACTGTTAATGATGGCTCCTATGTTTCTAGATGAAGTAGAAACAATAGAAGCACACCAGATTTGAGCAAGACAAACTGCAGATACTAATTTGTTTCTGCAAAATAAGAGGCAACCTTTTCTTCAAAGTCTTTTATCAAATTCTAAAATTGTGTTTGTATTATATAATTCAATCTTTTAAAAAAAAAAAATAAGGAGTAGCCTAGAGTAGAAATTACCTATAAGTGAATGCATTAGTTATCAATTGTTACATAAAAAGTTACCCCAAACCTTCATAACTTAAAACAACAAACATTTATTATCTCACAGTTTCTGTCGGTCAGGGATTCAGGAGCAGCTTGGCCAGGTGGTTCTGGCTCAGAGTTTCTCAAGTGGTGGCATTCAGTATGTTGGCAGGGGCTACAGTCATTTGAAGGCTTGACTGCAGCTGCGAGATTTATCTGTTTCCACAGTGGCTCATTCATATGGCTATTAGCAGAAAGCCTTAGGTCTTCACTAGCTTCTGGCAGTATGCCTCCATTTCTCGCCATATGGGCCTCTCCATAGGCTGCTTGAGTATCCTTGTGACATGGCATTTGGCTTGCCCCAAGCAAGTGATCCCAGAGAGAGCCAATGAGGAGAAAGTTACAGTGTCTTTTATGATCTAGTGTCAGAAGTCACATAACATTAATTAAACTTCATTCTACTTGTTGGAAACAAGTCACTATGTTCAGCCCACACTCATGGGGAGGAGAATGGGGAGAATTAGTTTCCATCTCTTGAAGGAAGGAACATCAAATAATTTGTACATGTATTTTAAAATCATCACAGAAAATTTTAAATCTTATACACTTGACATTTTACAAAGTGATGGGCACCTTTCCTCTATAGTAAATAACACTGCAGTATAGATTCGATTAAATTAAAATAAAACTAAAGTGTTATAAATTAGAAAATAGCTGCCTAGAATGCTCAGTGCTAAAGTTCAGGGTGAGTATCATTTATATATTTATATCTCTGTATTATTGAATCTTATTGAGTCATAAACAAAGAGATATTTGAAAGGTCAAAATTATGAAATATGCTAAGTGATTCTCTGTACATAAATACTTTCTGCATGTTATAATGAATTCTAGGAATTACGCATTGCTATGTATGAGAATCAAATATTTTATATGTGAATTAGAGTCAGAGTTGAACAATTTTAGAGCTTGAAAGAAGCTTACAGATTCTATCTAATCCAGTTCCCTTATTTAATAGATGAGAAAACTGAGAGTCTGTTAAAAATTTTTTTTTTTTTCCTAGAGCTCCTACATGGTTAGTGGAGAAAGCTATTTTGATGGGATGGCTATTTCACAATAATCTTGGAGAAGGGATTCAATGCTCTTCAAGGTCCTCTTCTAGTCTTGAAAATCTGTATCTGAAAATAATCTCTGGGAAAGGAACAATAAGTATTAACATTCTCCCTCTTCTAACATTGTCTGTAAAAAAGTTACAAACTAGTCCATTGGATCTTTCAAGGTCACTTACTATCTTGTCTGTAGAAATTGGGAATAAAGCCAAGTTATAGATTCCCTCATTTAGACCCTTTCAATTCCATTTATTACTTACCTTGGAAATTTTATTGCCATTTACCATAAACTAAATATAAGCAGAGAGGATTGAGTAATAACGTTTATCTCGTCTTTATTGAAGATTAAAATGCCCATATCTGTGAACACATTATGAATTATGTACTTATGTAATTTGATCTTAGAGAGAGAATAAAGGTAGAAATAAGTCTGCCGTTTCCTGACTCTCAGGTCAGGTACATTGACCATCAAACCTCTATTGACTATACTGAAATTTTATAGCTCATATCAGCAATTAAATTTGTATTGCTTACTAGGCATACAAAGCAGATGATAAGACAGTTTTATTTACTTTGTCTATTTACTTTGTCTGAGGGCTATAATATTGAATAAATTGTGAATATGTACTTAAATATGCAAGATAGTATGAATAGTATGAAATATCCTGATTTATAATAGAAAGTTCTTTTGCATTTCTATGTAAAAATATTTTTAAAATAGTTGTGATTTTTACAGTGTTATAGCTTTTAAAATGGTAAATAGAAGTTTTTGATGGAAAAATATTTTAATATATTACAATGCTTCAGGTTAATTTAATATCTAACACGGTAGTAAAATCCTTGGCTTGAACAAAACTCTATTTTCCAAAAAAATAGTTGGAAATAAGAGGCCTATTTGATCATGTTACCTCTGTATGTTTATTTATTTAACAAGCATTTATTGGATGTCTCTTGCCATAGTTCTTATAGTTTGTATATATCCAGTTACTGAAAATACATTTGTTCCTAGATTGCCCATAGACACTTAAAAGTCAGCATCTTCCCAACATGTCTATCTTTATCTCTCAGTTCTATTCACCCCATTTGTCACATCTCCCTTTCTCTTACTTCGCAAGTCTTTTAAAAGATTCTATTTTTCTTCATCCTCACAATCTCTCAAGTTCTAATTCCTGGCCTTTATAGCAAAAGTCTAAGGTGTCCCTGATGATCTCACCATCCTCTTTTATGTCACTGAACCTCTCTCCGGAGCAATCCACATGACTGCCAGTTACTTACTAACATAAATTAGATCACATTATTCCTCTTAACATCTCTTGTGGATTCCTATTTTCTCTAGGAGGAAGGGCAAATTCTGAACTTTCCAAACTGATTTCATTTTACCTTTCGGAAACCTCTGATTTTAAACATCTTTGCGTCTAAACATCAACCCCGTCTTGCTACTCAGTCTCCAAAGCTGATTGCCTTTCCCTCCACCACTCATCTCTTTATTCCCCCCTCCTCTGTGGCTTTCTCTTTTCTAGTTGGAGTTAATTGCCTTCTTTTCTGTCTCCCTTGACACTGTGTTTATCTTTATTATAGCTCATATTGCACAGCTCAGTTCATCACAATTCTTCATAGAAGAGCCTCACACTTGGGAAAAAGTGGCTTTGCTGTTTTTGTGTAATTAACAACACATATTGTAGTAAAACTCAACTTAAATTTTTTTCTACACTGCAAAAGTAATACAGAAAATACTGAAGAATAAAGAAAAAAAGTGCCCACAGAAACACTATCCAGAGACAACTGTATTTCAATTTTTCCTTTTTTCTAACACCTCATAGGTTTTTTTCCCCCTCTAACATAGATGTGATCATATTGCATGGATAGTTTCATAACTTGTTTTTCCACTTAACACTATATTAAAAAACACCAGTGATGTTATATATTTAAAATTGTTATCTAAAATGCTATAGAGTAGATATATTTTAAAGACATTTAGTTTCTATATTTTATTTTTGCACCTTATAAATATTGTGATGTAGAGTTTATGAAAATAGCTTTGGCTTTGTTACAGATTATTTCATTCAGAAAGAATCCTAGATATGGAATGAGTGGTTCAAAGAGTATGAACATTTTTATAGGTTGAATCACAGTGCCAATTGCTTTTTAAACAGTTTGTTTCAGTTTACACTCCTACTCACAATGTCTGAGAGCGCGCTTTTTATCTCACCAGACTTGAATATTATCTTTTATGTAAATATTTACTAATATGATAGCCAACTGAAATGTTACAATTTCTGGCTCCTTCACTGTTTCAGTGTATGGAATAAAACCAAGGCTTTGGAGTTAAGTATAACAGGGTTTGGTCAGAGTGCTGCCACTTCCCAGCTGTGTTGCATCAAGCAAATTACTTAACTCCTTTGATACTTTGTTTTTTTAAAGGTCAATAATAATATTTACAACAAACACAGGGGTGTTGTAATTATTAAAAAAGTCATATAAAAGCATTTCACAACAGTGCCTGGTACATGTCAAACGACAGTGAATCCTTCATTTTCCCTTGTAAAAGTATCTTATATACTTTTAATTAGCATTCTAACAAGGAAGTTACATAATACTTTGACTATCTTTATGTATGCAACTTGATGTGGAAGGCCGAACAATTAATTATCTGGATAATTCTTGCACCACCAGGTGGTCAGGGACTATTTTTTGGTTAAAAAAGAAAGCACACACCAGGTTTCCATCCTTGAGAAATTTGCAATCTAAAAGCCTTTAACTCTTGGGACTTTTAATTGCTCAAAGAGGTCTCAAAGGGCAATGGTGGAAAGTCACTGAAGAGTAAGCTTAGTGAAAGTGATCTGGGGAGAGAATACCTGGAAAAGCTACTGTCTCAAGGAAAGCAAATGCTAAGGAAGCATATGAATTATTATTCTATAACAGTTATGTAGACCCGTGAGGTTTTATCTGAATGTAAAGTTTGTACATAAAAGGTAAACTATATTAAGCATTGCAAACAGGGCAAACAAGACTAATCTGATTTTGTGCACTTGCTGTTTGTATACTCACAGCAAATTTTGCTCTTTGGATCCCAGCAGGAAATACCGAGAGGAAGCATGGCATAGATGACACAGCACTGATTATAAGTCTATCTCGTCCTAGCCACTAACTAAAGTGAGTAGGCTAGAGTTAGACTATGATCAAATGTCTAACTTTCTCTAAATTTAGGATAATTTAGGTTTGGTTGCTCTTTGGGGCCGCCCTTCTAACTTTTCCTTTCTAATCGACTCCTTTCAACTGCCAAAGAATGCTTGTGGTCATAAAAAATTACCGAATATTCTTGTCTGGATAAAAATCTGCACTCTCGAACGGGGCCATATCCATCGAGGTTTTGGTGGAGTTTAAACATTGTCCCTGAAAAAGCAAGCTTTTCTAATTGGGCAAAACTGGCCAAAATAATTTAAGCGTTCTTTGTTGCAAACAGAAATTCCTAAGACAGGCCCATTTCTCTCTCCTGATCCAAGATTTTCAAGCTGAACAGCCACGCACGGTCGATTTGGTTCTGGATTCCCTCCTTGGGGGGCGATGGAGATGCCCTCGATGAGTTTTCTGGCACCGGCGGGAGTTTCAAGTGTCCCCTCGTCCGGGGAGGCGGCGGGCGCACTGGGGACTTGGGGTTGGGCGGCTCCGCTTCCCCTCACAGGCAGCTTCACTTTAGCCCAGTCCTCGCTGGAAGGGGTCCCCTTTCCACCGCGCTCGCCGCATTTCCCTCGGGT